CCCTAAGAGGCTGGACCCAGGAGGACGCAGATGTTCCGTCTGACCTCAGTGTCAAAGCCAAGGCATGTCCTAGTTCCCCCCTCAGCAGACACTCCCAATTCTGTCATTCAGAAATTTGCCCAGACCCTTCTTAAACTGCATTTATATATCTTGCCAGGACCACCTCTTGAGATAATGAGTTTTAGAAGATTATTACCTGCTGTGTTAAGCAGTACTTCCTTTCACTGGTTACAACAAGAAAAAGAAGAATTAGGGGTGAGGCAGCAGAGAGGCTAATGTTGCTTTCATCAAGGGACAATCTTGTGTGTGGAAAGTGGAAATATTTAATATGCTGGACCCATAAGGCATTTGAGCAGCAACCATAAACTCAGGAAATCCAATGGCTTCAAGTTTTTTGGTTAATAAAAATCACTCAACGTTCATTTATGAAAAATGGGACTGGAAAAAGGCATAATTTCTGTTAGAGTTATGTTGTTAGAAAGTAGTTCAGACAGCATGGAGTCCAGCACTGTTTTCAATCACACAACCCTGAGCTGATTGCAAATACACAGGGATTGGAGGTTGGTGAAAAACTGGGAAATCTGCTAGGAGAAATTCAATGAATACCGTGGCTCTCTGCATAGTCAGGGATGCCATGGAACCTCTAGGAAAATGCACTACCAGTCCTCAGTGGACATGAAGATCCCACCCACTGGCTGAGCTATACCAAGTATCTCAGCCAGGCAGAGTCCCATTGGATGCAAACACTCTCAGTGCAATATGGTATCCTGGACTGATTCCAGGAACAGAACAGAAAGACGAGTGGAGAAACTGGTGAAATCGGGATAAAGTTTCAAGTTAAATTAATAGTAATGTGCAAATATTAATCTTAGTTTTGACAAATGTGGCATAGTTACGTCAGATGTTATAACATTAGGAGAAACTGGGAGAAGAAGGGTATGTGGGAACTCTCCGTACTATCTTTGCAACTTCTTTATAAATCTATTATCATTCCAAAGTAAAAGGTTTATTAAAATTAAATTTTTTTAAAGCAAACATATTTCATAACACTTCAGAGCCACTATACTGGGAGTTGGAAGTCCATAAAAACCACCAAGATTTTTAAGAATCAAGATTTAAGGCAAAGGACATGAAAAGACATTTGTCTAAAGAAGACATACAGATGGCCAGCAGGTATCTGAAAAGGTGCTGAACATCACTCATCATCAGGGAAATGAGAGTCAAAACCACCCTGAGATAACACTTCACACCTGTTAGGATGGCTAGTAACCAAAAGACAAGAGAGGGGTACCTGGGTGGCTCAGTTGGTTGAGCATCAGACTCTGATCTCAGCTCAGGTCTTAATCTTCGGGGTCATAGATTTGGGCCCCGCACTGGGCACAACGCCCAGCATGGAGCCTCTTTTTGGGGGGGGGAAAAAAAAAGCCAAGAGACAAGTGTTGGCGAGGATGTGGAGTAAAGGGAATCTTTGTACACTGTTGGTAGGAATGTTAACCGTTACAACCAGTATGGAAAACAAAAACTAAACTATTTTTAGTTGCTGAAAAACTAAAAATAGAACTACCACACGATCCAGCAATCCCTCTTCTGGTTGTACACCCGAAGAAAATGAGCTCAGTACCTCGAAGATTTATCTGTGCTCTCATGTTCACAGTAGCATTATCCACAACAACCAAGATATGGAAACAATCTAAGTACCCATCAATGATGAGTGGGTAAAGAAGTTGTGGTACACACACAGGTACACACACACACACACACACACACACACGGTAATATCACTCAGCCTTAAAAAAAAAAGAAAGAAATCCTGCCATTTGCAATAACATGGATGAACCTGGAGGACATTACGCTAAGGGAAACAACATAGGCACAGAAAGAGAAAAAACTGTATGATCTCACTTTTCTGTGAAATCTAAGAGTTAAATGCATGGAGGCAGAGAGCAGGATGGCTGGCTACCAGGGCAGGATGGGGAGACAGTGGTCAAAGGGTACAAAGCTGGGAGTCATACAGGATGAATAAGTAAATCTAACACACAGCACGATGACGATGTTTCATAACACCATATTGAACTCTGGCAATTTGCTAAGAGAGTAGATTACAGGTGCTCTCAACACAGAAAAGGAAAAAAACGGTAACTATGTGAGGAGATGGATATGAACATTAGCTTGACTCTAGTAATCATTTCACCATATATATGTACATCAAATCATGTTGTACACCTTAAATATATACAATTTTTACTTTTTTGCAAGTTTTTTTTTAAGATTTTATTTATTTATCTTTGCAAGAAGGAGAGAGAGCACATGCACACTTGAGCACAAGTCAGGGGGGAGGGGCAGAGAAGCAGACTCCGCGCCAAGCAGGGAGCCCGACGTGGGGCTCAATCCCAGGACCCTGGGATGGTGATCTGAGCTAAAGGCAGACGCTTAACCGACTGAGCCCCCCAGGCACCCTACAATTTTTACTTTAAAAAAATAACCTCGGGGGGAAAAAAAAAAGAATCAGGATTCAGGTGGATGAGAATTCCCTAATACAAAATGGCGGGGAGTGAGGGAATGACACATGCACATGTGTTAAAAATAAGGAAAAACTGGGCACCTAGCTGGCTCAGTCAGTGGAGTGTGAGACTCTTGGTTTTTGGTCTCGGGGTTGTGAGTTCAAGCCCTGCACTGGGTGTAGAGATTGCTTAAAAATAAGTTCTTAAAAAAAATAATAATAAGGAAAAACTAAGTGGGTATGTATTAAGACATGGAAATTTTAAGTAGATAGCCACAGGAGGCAGGGTGAGTCACGTATGGGGGCAGCAAGTGTGAAGATGACCCAAGACTGTAGTGACCCATTAGAAAGTCATCTCATCCCAAAGAAAACCAGGACCTTCTAAAAGATGGGCCGGGGCGCCTGGGTGGCTCAGTTGTTAAGTGTCTGCCTTTGGCTCAGGTCATGATCCCGGGGTCCTGGGATCGAGCCCCGCATCGGGCTCCCTGCTCAGCGGAAAGCCTACTTCTTCCTCTCCCACTCCCCCTGCTTGTGTTCCCTCTCTCGCTGTCTCTCTGTCAGGTAAATAAATAAAATCTTTAAAAAATAATAAAATAAAAATAAATAAATAAAAGATGGGCCTTGTTTTGTATGTTTGTTTAAAGATTTTATTTATTTTATTTTAGAGAGAGATAGCAGGAGGAGGGGCAGACAGAGAGGGAGAAAGAAACCCAAGCAGACTCTGCATGGAGCACAGAGCCCAATGTGGGGCTCGATCTCCTGACCCCGAGATCAGACCTGAGCCAAAACCAAGAGTCAGACACTAACCAACTGTGTCAGCCAGGCACCCTTAAAAGATGGGCCTTGGGATGGACCGCATGGGCCACAATCTACACTGACGTGTATCCTTTACGAGCACTATGTAATTTACAGAACAGGAGTTAACACTTGTAAGCCCAATAAGCCTAGAGCCTATAAACAGCCTGGAAGAAAAAGACTAGGGGGCGCCTGGGTGGCTCAGTTGGTTGGGCGACTGCCTTCGGCTCAGGTTGTGATCCTGGAGTCCCGGGATCGAGTCCCACATCAGGCTCCTGCTCAGCGGGGACTCTGCTTCTCCCTCTGACCTTCCCCCCTCTCACGTTCTATCTCATTCTCTCTCTCAAATAAATAAATAAATAAAATCTTTGAAAAAAAAAAAAAGAAAAAGACTAGGACAAAATCTGGGAATTCTGACACCATACCAAAAACATCAAGGTAAACCAAAACTCAAAATAAAGTTACTTGGGTAATTCATCACCACTCACTGGCTCACTTGAGTGGAGACAGGTTGTTAAGATACAGTCGGCAAGTGCATACATAGAAAAATTAACTGCTCATTCAAGGAGACTACAGAGACACAAAGGCAAGGCAAGAAAAGAATGACTATATGAATAGCATCTATAGGAAACTGTATCAAATCTTTCTAAAAGTGAAAAAAGAAGACAGCCCTGAAAATATACTGTTAATTAAAAGCCCCGAACCTTGGAGATTTGGGAGTTGATACATGAAGGTTAGAAAAAGTAAGCAATGTCCCTACCAGAAGAAAAAAAAAATTGCTAAGAAATATTTACAAAAATGTAGCCTATTTAAATATTTGGGCAGGTTAGAGAAACCATCACAATGGCTTTCAACTGGACAACGCTGGATCTTAAACCAACTCCTACATTACAACGACATGGCTCCAGCTAGAAGCCTGGTGCTGACACCTTAGAAATGGATTCCACTCCCCACTTCCCCTCATCACCGAAAATAAAACACTCACACAGACCAACTGCTTTCCTACTGGCTCTCCTCTGTGCTAATCACTGGTCACATTCAATCAACAACACATCCAAAAATAAAAAAATCACCAATTTGTAAAAAAAACAAGCATTTTGGTTTTTGCTGATAATAAATCAGGTCTCTGTTTTTAATGAATTCCGTTTGCACTAACTGATCCCAGAGTGACGTATGTATGAATGAATGACTCCACTGTGCATTTACGTGATAGATTTTACAAGCTTGTGAACAAAGACAAATATTCTAGAGGAGAACAAACAAACCCAGAGAGACATTTACGGTTTCTGTGCAAACTTGGCCATTCACAGAGCAACGTGGCGCTTTGCCTCATTTCTGAGTCTTTTTTCCTAATCTGTGAAGGATATACCTAGGTCTGCTTTTCCTCTGAGAAGAAACTCTGTCAAAGCAAGTGACAACCCTTGAACTCCATCAACCTGTACCTCTAACTTACTGAAGGATGATGTTCAGAAGGCCACATAGGCCCAGAGTTTGATAAATGACCCTGTTCTGTGCAAACAATTTTAAAGAAGAATTATCACTTGCCAACAGCTCTGTCATTAGCCTTTTCTATCCCCTGTAGATAATTAAGGCCCTTATTTATATAATTTATACCACCTTCTGTGGGTCAGGATAATTTCCAATCATTCTTAAGTGTTTACACTTAATTCCAACACCAGAAGTGAAGGACTGTGGCTCTACTTACAGTTACGGATGTTATTCCAGTCAATTTTAGAGAAGAAAGGGTGGCAGCAAAGGCCTTCAAACTTCAGTCTCTCTTTCTGGCCACACAGCAAACTCTGAATCAGATCAAGTAATTCACCGCTAACTTTGGGGTCATCAGGAAACTTCAAAAACCGCTATTCCAAAAAAATAAAATAAAATAAGCATTTCCTTAGCAGATTCGGCTTCTGATGTTCCAAAGTTACAGTATTTCTCATATATGCAAGTTTCTCTCTCTCCCTTTTTTTTCTTTTAAAAGAAGGAAGTTTTGTGCCCTCTTAACTTTGGACCAAAGGCATGTTCCCAAAATAAATGGCCTGTTCACATCAATGGGTCCCATTCCTTTACAAGGGTTCAATATCCTTCATGATTTGACCCTGCTCCTCTGTCTCTTGTAGCTCCACTCCCCATCTCGCTCTTTGCTGTCCAACAATGATGAGCTATTTAAAGCTGCCTGAACAAATCATGCTGTTCTCTCTGCCTAGAACGCCCTCCCCATCCCATGCCCCTCTTCCACCCGATCACTGCCCCTCCCCAGGCTCCCTCTGTAATCTACTTCTGCACACAGTACACTGTGATTTCTATGTGATAACAGGGAGAGAAGGCAGAGAGAGCCTTCTCCTTGCTCATCACTGTAAACCCAGTACCTAACCGGGCCGAGCGCAATTCACTCATTACTGATTGAGCAGACTGAAAGGAAGGAGATAAATTGGCCCAAAAATCATCTAAGGGAAAACTTTCACTCCAGAGGAGACTCAAGAATAACAAGGAATATATGTATGTATTAAGCATATGAAATATGTATATTATACATATGAAAATATGTACTAAGCATTCCAGAAAGATGAGATTGAGTGAGTTAGAAAAACCTGTGAAGTTTCTCCTTTTTCCTTTCGGTTGAAACTAAAAACATACATATTTATCATATCCTTAAGAAATGGGTTTAACATACTGGAACGTACAGTTATTAGAGAATGGCTTTAATTCTACTTCATATATATTGCCATAATTCTAATTCCTATCCCCCTTCGATTTTACTATCATATTCGACCGCTAGGAGTACTGAGAAAGAGCCCAGCAGAATATCTATAAAAGGAAAGGACTCAAAGCCAGACATTCTAGGCAAGTTACTTAAACATTTTGGGATTTGGTTTCCTCATCTGTAAAAGGAAAAGAATATCGACCTCCCACATTGTTTGAGGACTAGCCAAGTTAATGAACTATATTTCAAGTCTAAGACTCAGTTACTCCCACAACAGCACTGAAATCAAAATGCATTTTATAATCAATGAAATATGATAGATTAATTGGCAAGAGATTTCTTTTTTAACAGGACCTAAAATAATGGCACAGGCTTACAATAACTGGCAGCTGCGAGTCAATGAAACACAATTACTAAAGCGTTTAGAGCAGCTTTTAGCACAAGGTGCTTTATTAAGTATTTGCTATTGTTATTATCCGGGCACTGCTGATTTACATCACAAATGTTCACTCGCACATTTTTAAATGACAGCTCTCCGTATTACTCCAGAACCTCCGACCGGCTCTTTACCTGGAAATTCATGATGTTACTGAAGGTTCTGGCTGAGGTTCCCTCCGTGAACGGGGACCTTCCATAAACCATTTCATAGGCGACCACTCCCACCGACCACCAGTCACAGTCGAGACTGTAGGTGCCTTTCCCATCCCCATTCATCATGGTCAACACTTCAGGGGCCATGTAATCTGGAGTCCCAATCGGGAGTTTGGCATTCACCTGGAAACCCATAAATAAAATGAACACAGCAAACTTTCAATTATTCTCAAATAGTTTGCCAACAGCCACATTTCAGACACAAGCTGATTTGCCACTGATTACTATTCTCCCAGGCACTTAAACCTTCTGTCAAGTGGCACGCTGTCAGGAAATGCAAACGATTTACTAATTAAAAAAAAAAAAAAAGTATATAATAGAATCCAAAGGCAAAGGGCAAGGGTTGTTGATGATATACACCCTTTGGTTACACAAATAAGAGTTGAGTATACAGCTAGAACGGAAGATGTCTTTCCTGACACATGTTACACAGAACTTCTCTTATGAAAACAGCAAAATGATAATGAATCCTAAAGATGAATCTATAAGGTCAATCTACCCATTATTGAAAACCTGGCAGCTAGCTGGGGCAAAACAATATTGCAAACTCATTGTATCTCAAGTTTAAATATCTAGAATCAACATTCCTACTTCGAACCACCCACAGGGAAAGACATAAGTATCTCCCACCAGAGGGCCAATGTTAATGGGTCCATTTTCCTCACCCCAACTCCTAGCCCTGTGGTTCCCTCCCCACTATTCAGGAATCCAGAGCCCTCCAATCCAATGGCACTGAAGCACCTGACCTTGGCAAAGAAAGGCTAGGACGATGTAGCAGGTCTTTTTCTAAAGCTAAATATATCCCATTTGAAGAACTGTCCTTTTTTCTAAGAATTTGTCCTTCTGTTTTAGTGTTTACATGTCCTTTGTTTCTCGAAATGATGCTGATGAAAGGTTTTCTGTCCCCCTCCCAGCCCACTCCTTCCTAGACAACAGAGTAAGCCGGCAACGCTTTCAGTCTTGAAAATTGTTGTGAAGTCTTATTGATCCATGAAATTTAAAGGCTAAGGATCACCTCTCTGACTTCTTCCCCATCAAAACAGAAAGGGCCTGATGTTAGTCATATCTGTGTTAACCAATAATCCTACAGTTGTCCAATAATCCTGCCTTTAAAAAGGCTTCTCTCACGTGAGCAGTTACATGGGCACAAAAGAATCTTCTCCCCATTAAAGGATGTTGAGTGTCCCTGAGAGATGTTAGAGATTTTATAGATATGGCCACGCATCTTTAAGGCTGGGCTTTATATCCCTTCCCTAGGGATGGAGACTCAAGCTCTTCAAGCCTGTAACTTTAATCTTGTCCATCCCTCTGCCCCACAGATCCACAGTTGTAGGAAACAGACCCATTCTCCCTACTCCTTCTCTTTTCACCCCTTCTCTCAAGCCCACCATAGGTTTTTCCCAAACCCTAAATCTGGACAACAGTGTGATACTGGTATTCTTGATGCCAGTCATCCATTGCTTTGGGCAACAGAATTTCCACTGAGGGGTGCCTGGCCGACTCAGTGGAGCATGCCCCTCTTGATCTCGGGGGTTGTGAATTCGAGCCCCATAGTAAAATCTTTACAAAAAAAAAAAAGAATTTTCACCGCAAGTACCCACTGGGGAAAGCTACATGGTCACACTGCCCAAGAAAGCCACAAGCCATTGCTGATAGATAAAAGTGGGGAGAAAGGAGACGATATCTGGTCTAAGACAGGGCACCTTAAACTTGAGAAACTGAAAGCAGCTTAAGGCAAGGGAAAGCCTTGATGCTGGGGAGCCTGTGCTAAGACTTCTATCTTTTAATGTGTGTGTAAATGTTAATGAGCTCAGCATGGGACTAGGATTAAACGACAGGTTTTTGGTAAAAACCCTCAATACTGACAATATTTTTTTAAATATGAAAACAAAAGAAGAACAACTAATGTCATCATTAAATGCTTACCCTTTATGCCTAATTACCTTGCAGAACTATTACTACACAATCCTCAAATATGCATCTTTGCACTTGGTGGGTTTTATTTTATCATCACACTAGACTGTTTGGGAACATTCAGTTCTCCTTGTTTGCAGTGCACAGGGCTTAGTCACTTGTTCACCAGCAAAGAGTTGAAAGGAACTTGACTGGGTTGTGTTTATCAGCATGACCCAGCAAGGGGTGTAAGTCATCAATGCCTCATTTTCAGACTCATGATTAGACTTATCCAACAGAGTCAGATAACTCCCTAATTCCTGCCCCACAACAGGCATGTGATTATACACATTTGTGTCTAATCACTTTGTAATTTTCTAAATTTTAAGGGAAAATATCCCTAGCTTCCTTTATGTACATCTCCTGCATAAAGTACATTAGGTACTTAATAGTAACTTACAAAGGTTTTTAATGACAATTTAATGACTGCTAAATTTCCATTAGTTACTGACCTCCAAGCACATTAAACCCATTCAACACTTAATATCTCACATCCTGATAAGGATTTTGCAGGATGCTTTCACTCTCCTCTGGTGGCAATTCACGGCCAGCTAATCTGGGTAAGATATTAAAAGTGGAGCCATGTACAGGGCACCATCTGAAAAGTTTTACTAAATTTTAGTTAATTTTCACTGTATTGACAGGGAAGAAAATACACCAGTTCAGCAGGAGACAATAACAAAATGATTAGGAGACAGAAGACGGAGTCATATTTCAGGAGATAGAGAGGTTAAGAAGAGAAACAGAAAAGCATTAACTTAGATTCCTTTACAAACATGAGAAGAAAGTAAGAAAACCACTGTCTGTCTCCTCCCAATCCTCTTCCCATAAAATGCTTAAACATAAAACTTTTTCAACCTAAATTTCCCCATGTGGCTATGCAGGGCAGAAACATCCACCTGCAGAAGCAGGGGTGGGATTGGGGGGTTGGGGCGGGGGGGGGGGGTAGGGGGAGAATGGTATCTCACTGTTGTTCCTCTTGGGGGAAAAGCATAAAATCTTCTCACTCCTATGTAAATGTCAAAAAAGGCTATCTCCTATAGATTTTCAACTGCTCAATGAGGTTGATTAACACTTAACATGCTATACTGCTCTTTATTTACAATCTCCTTACAAGTGTTTGCGTGAGAGCTCAATGAGACAGGTTGGAAGAATTTGCTATTTGCCACTCTGAGATTCTAATAAGGTGAAATGGGTAGCCTAAGGGCACACAGCAGGTGGATGGCATGTCTCAGCTCAACACCCAAACCTCTAGGCAGTATGGTTCCCCATTGTTTCTAAGAATACTTCAAGCAACACACCAAGAAGCTTGAAATAATGACAATGGAAGATGGAAAACCCAACAGACCTAAAAGTCACAAATATCTAAAATTCGTAAATAATATTTGAGAGTGGTAGGGGAAAGAATTGATTTTAGGTGAGTAGCATACATGAATTTCAGTAAACGTAGATTATATTTCATATATTTTGAGTACAAAAAACACTTACAACGTCCTTTAGGCCCATAAAACATTCTATTTAAAAGAAACACATGTTGGGATGCCTGGGTGGCTCAGTCAGTTGAGCGTCTGACTCTTGGTTTTGGCTCAGGTCATGATCTCAGGGTCGTGATACTGAACCCCACAATGGGCAAAGGGCTCCATGCTCAGTTCAGTCTGTTTGAGATTCTCTCCCCGTCCACCTCCCTCCCCCTCTCCTCTTCCCCCTGCGCACTCTCTCTCTCAAATAAAATCTTAAAAAAAAAAAATGTTTAACCCACCTCCACTGATCAAAAATACAAAAGAAAAGTATTTCTATACCCATACTTGACTTCATCTAGATTATAGATTATCGGTCTTCTATAATTAAAGGCATTTTCACTTAAAACAATGCTAAAAATTCCTTCCTATGTGCTTGTCACATTCTGGCCCTTAAAAGCACAAAGTTCTGAAGAGGCGATTCTTTCTCTAAGAGAAGAGGAGGTGCACTACTCTCAAGTATGCAGGACTGAGTGCCTTATCTCCTTCACCAGAATAATCAGGGGTTGAGCACTGAGCTGCAAATAAACCTGAGTGACTCTGAAGGGCTCTGCGCCTGAAGTGAAGGTTGTTCCAATTAGAAGAACTGAAAAGGGATAGTCTGAAGCACTGAGAAACAGAAACCTGAAATGACAGAAAGTCCAGTCTCTCCACTTGGGGCTCAGAAGATATTGAGCGATTCCAGATGCAGAGATGGGGCCTTACTCTTTATTCCCATTTGTTTACCAAGCAGTGACTTTGGATCATAATCTAGTTTTCCCCAAGTAGGTTTTCTTGTTGCAAATACCTAGTGCTGGCTCTCATTAATAAGCTGTCTGCTGTTTCTCAAACAACTTGGGATGGTTCTCAACCAGGGGTGATTTTTGTCCCCCATGGAACACACAGCAATGCCAGGAGACATTTCTGGTTTTCACAACTGGAGGAGAGAGTGTTATTGGCATCTGGTGGATGGAAGCCAGGAATGTAGCTAAATATCCTATAATACACAAGATAGCCCCCCACAATAAAGAATTATCCAGGGCAAAATATCAATGGTCAATGTCTATGGTATCCAGAGCTGACTATGTATCTACACTTCAACTATTAGACCATGTATCTATGCTTCGGTTTATTTCTAGATGCATGAGTTCACTCAATGAACAAGTTTTTGAGTCCAATATGATAAAATTTTCCATTACTTAACTTTTTCCTGTGCTTTATTCCACTAAATTCAACAACTAAGTTTGCATGCCTGTTTCAGCAGGTAATTTTTAAAAACATGAAATGCTTATCATGATCCTATAATCTAAATCTCATTGTAATGATCAAGTGGAGTCGATTACAAGAACATGATTTGGTGGGGAGCGGGGAAACAGCGCCTAGAGAGACTGTTTTTCCAAGGATCTGAACACCAAGTAAATTATCTCAAGTAGGCCTCAGGTCTGCCGAACAGGGAGGCCAGAGCCTAGAGTACAAACAGTTAACATAACCCCAAACCTTTTCCTAATATCAACCTGATAACACCCCCTTTCCTCCAAGGAACTTGAGGAAAAAAAGACAATTTTACGTATTTCCCTTTATAAGGACTTAACTCTCAGAGGTTAGGAAGGGGGTGCATTTTACAGAGTAACCTCCCTAACCTCTTAACTTGTGCATTTTTAATTTTATTTACTCATTTATTTATTTTGACAGAAAAAAGAGGGAGAAAGAGAGCACAAGCAGGGGGGAACAGCAGGTAGAGGGAGAAGCAGGCTTCCTGCAGAGAGCCCCGCGCGGGGCTCAATCCCAGGACTCTGGGATCATGACCTGAGCCAAAGGCAGACACTTAACCGACTGAGCCACCCAGGTTCCCCTTAACTTGTGCATTTTAACTAGAATCAGTACTCTACTGAGAAAGAATGAAAGGCCAAGTTCCTAAAAATTTGTCCAGGTCACTGAGTGGGTTAGTTGTAAAATAAGTCTTAAAATCTAAGTTGATTTTCCCTTAGACTTACCAGTTTTTTGCATAGATGACATGAAAATTCACTTTAGTCTGTACCAATTTTATTAGGGTTTGTTTTTAAATCTATATACAGTTTTTTTTTTTTTACTTTGTCATCTTTTTCCTCAAGTATTCTTGCTGTTGATCTCAGCAGGTACCCTCTGGCCTTCCTATTTAGCACGGGGAATACAGCTTAATTTTTACCAGAGGTCCAGGACTTCGAAATGACATTTTGAGCAGTTGGTTCTTAATGCTAAAGGTTATTTGGTTCAAATGTGCCAGTGATTTCTTTCAATTTTGCTGAATAGAAAATAGAGATGTGAGATAAATAAGATTACAGAAGACAATCTATAATAAAGAAAATGAGAAGAGAAACAAAAATGAGCACTTTCCCTTTTACGTTTTAACCAAACCATAAGGATGTTCCTAAAAATGTTTTGTAGGATATTAACAGATAGGGTGCCAAGGTCAAGCAAGTCTGGGAAATAGCTCTATGTCCCCATCCCCACCACCACCTTCAGAGAAATCAGGCCCTACACTGGCAGTTGAAGATTCCAAAATGTCACTCAAAGTTATCCCATATTTTCCAAACTTATGAGGACCACAGAACACTTTGTAGCATAATCTCTATTAAGCTATCTCACTCCATGATGTTACCATCTTATTTGAGTTCATTTTAGCCGCTGATCCAAAATCCACAAGCTTGATGTGTCCTGTTCGGTCAATGAGAATGTTCTCAGGCTTGATGTCTCTAAGAAAATCAGGGCCACAAATTAGTGTTGTTTCCTCCATGCAAATCAGCAAGCAATTGCTAACGTAGGATATTGATTCAGCCAACAACCTCAGTGTCTAAACTCTGCTATATAGTCCTCCCTATTGATAGATATAAATAATAAGCAAACATTCTGCAAAACAAATTAAGTAAGAAAAAGAAGAAGGAGAAGCAGGAAGAGGAGGAAGAGAAGGAGGAAGAGAAAGGGAAGGGGAAGGAAAAAGAAAAGTGGGGAGGGAGAGGAAGGGAACAACATTCTTGGATGTACACAAAACATCACATGCGTGAGGATGTCAAGAGACGCTTTTCAACTGAGGATTTGCTGGAACACCTTTGTAAATCATTAATGGGTGAGGTCAGAAGTACAACTCCATGGTCTTCCGCTCCTATGTGGTGATGCAGGTTCCTTCTGCAAATCGAATTCAGTTTTTCTACCATGTAACTCAAGGAACCCATGCGAGAGTCCTCAGTCTTATCAGCCACAGTCACAGATCTTATTAGCAAACTTGAGAATGCTGTAATTCTAGATCTATTTCACTGTTGAATGGGTAAAGCTGAAATGTCTGCCACTCTGGAAAATAGACTTTCAGCCGGTTGCAGTTAGGACTGGTTAAAATTTGGATGGAGCATCATTTTGATGCTGAAATTATTAATCTATTCACTCCATTGGGGGAATGCTTAGGCGATACACATAAGTTCTCAGCACACTACCAGAGAGGCTCACTTACCGATGCACATATCCCATCTGATGAATGCTGTGAACAGCCAAAATCAGTTCGGCTAGGTAAAACTGAATCATATTTTCATCTAACTGGTCCTCATATCTATTCAAAAGTGACAGCAAGTCCCCTCCAGGCTGATATTCCATAACCTGCATAGAATGACAAAGTTATTAATTCTTCATACACCCCAAAAAAGGGAACATCTCAATCAGAGCCTCAAATACTACCTGACACGTTATAATTACAATGTCTCCACAAAGCAACTAAGATGTGGGAGACATATCGTAAGTCACGTAGGATGAGGTCCCTGCCCTAAGGAAATTATATCCGATACCCAAGAGAATCAATATAATGAAAGACTAGTCCCAGACACCATGCACAATGTTTGCAAGGCAAGCTTGAAAAGTTGAATTAAATCCACCCACTCACCCACCCACCCACCCAAGTCGACACCCCAGACATTCCCTAGGATTAGGTACACAGTGTAGATGGAAATTGCTAGAGGGCAATAAACCCTCCAGCATCCTTTTTGCATTTCTCTCAGCACCCAGCAGACTAGAGGAGGCGTGCAATAAATATGATACAGTCTTTTCCTGCAACAGTCATCTGACCACTTCTATTAAAAATTTAAATGTGAACATATACTCTCCGACCTCATGATTCCATTTCTGACAATTTATTTTACAGGAACTTTTTTTTTTTAAGATTTTATTTATTTATTTGAGAGAGAGAATGAGAGAGAGAGAGAGAGAGAGAGCATGAGAGGGGGGAGGGTCAGAGGGAGAAGCAGACTCCCTGCTGAGCAGGGAGCCCGATGCAGGACTCGATCCCGGGACTCCAGGATCATGACCTGAGCCGAAGGCAGTCGCTTAACCAACTGAGCCACCCAGGCGCCCCTACAGGAACTTATAGTAGTTTGTAGATCGATAGATACATAGATTCACTGTAGCACTGTTTGTAACACAGGGGAGGAAAAGCCTGGAAATCCCCCAAACATCCATCATTAAGAAACTGCTGAACTATGATACATCTAAATAATGGGAGAAGATGTAGATATTAAAAATGAACAGAGTCAGTCTATTCATACTGCCATGGAAAGCTGCCCATGATAATACAAAGTGACATCCTATACAGGACAAGATACAACCTCCTTTTTGTGATTAAAAAAAAATTATTACATTTGTTAATATATACATAGAAAAAAAATCTGGAAAAAGAATATAGGGGCACCTGGGTGGCTCTGTTGGTTGAGTGTCCGACTCTTGATTTCAGCTCAGGTCATGATCTCAGGGTCGTGAGACTGAGCCCTGGCATCCGGCTCTGCACTCAGTGGAGGGGTCTGCTTGTCCCTCTCCCTCTGCTCCCCGCAGCGCCCCTCCCCCGCGCCACTGCCCAATGCTTGCTCTAATAAATAAAATCTTTAAAAAAGCAGAATATAAAGTACAGCTTCAAGTAAAATTTTTTTTTAAAGATTGATTATTTATTTATTTATTTGAGAGAGAGAGAATGAGAGATAGAGAGCACGAGAGGGAAGAGGGTCAGAGGGAGAAGCAGACTCCCCACTGAGCAGGGAGCCCGATGCAGGACTCGATCCCGGGACTCCAGGATCATGACCTGAGCCGAAGGCAGTCGCCCAACCGACTGAGCCACCCAGGCGCCCTCAAGTAAAATGTCTGATTAGCAAAAAATTTCTTCCACTCCAAGGAACTGAAATCCTTCCTCCTTCTGATGATAACTGAGTGTGATATTCTGAGTCAACACGCAGCTCTGAGGCCGATTTGCCCAGGTGGCTTCAAACCACAGCCTGGTGACTTCAGCTCTCTGCCCTTCAGTTTCGCCCGCTGTAAAATGGGGTGAGACCAATTGCCTTGCAGTACTGTGCCTGGCACCAAGGAGGTCCTCCACTGCCGGTCAAGTAAGTGCCTTCCTTTCCCACCCTTGGCTGCATGATCCTTCCCTCTCTGGCTGGGAGAAGCTGGGACACATTTTGATCATCTTTGCAGTCATGTTAACTCTTATTTGGTTCTCTTCCTGTCCTTTGCTCTGATTTCCCGTTTTGTGTGCCACGCTATAAATGCCTTTTGTTTTAAGTTGTCTCAAATCCTTTCTGGAAAGAGGCAAGATCCAAATAAACATCTTAAAAAAAAAAAAATACGAAATCTCTCCAACTACTGCATTCCAGAAGCCAATTTTGGGATGTGAATTCTCTCCATCCTCCTCCAAACTCCTGTTTGCTTTTGGTCCAGAATTAGAAGAAAGCTCTAGTCAAGTGAGACATTAAGCATCTGCATATATCTGCAGAGGCCGCAGCCTGGCCCAGTAAAGATTCTGCCCGGCACTAAGTGAACCCCACACCAGAGACCCCTGGGGGAGTCAGTGACCCACATGCCCTCCACAAGGGCTCTGTGTCATCTGGGAATCTCCCCCATTCACATGACGTCTTGCACGGAGTGGAGAATCAACCAGATACTGGACGACTGGAAGAGTAAGGTTCCATTTGCATTGCAATAGCTGGAAAAAGATTTATGAACCCACAAGAACAACAACACTTAGAAGGGGCAGCAGCTAAAGTGCAGACTTTATTTCCCCCAAATTCACAGCAGATTGAAAGCTACCAGTACCAGCCCTAGAAGAGCCCACAGGAGCCACCTGGCTGCCTAAAGCTCACCCACTCATCCCAACCTGGTTCTCCACAGGCCCTGGATATGTGGGTGAATGCCAATTTTTACGTCTGTTTTAAACACATATTGCCATTAAAAAAGGTCTTAACTATAAAAAAAAAAATTCACCGATAACAACAGAAGTACTCATGCTTTTAGAACGGAAACATCTTAAAATAAGAACAATGCATATTTATGATGACACATCGCAGTTATAAATGTTCTAACCTGGCTCTATTAAAGATGTGTGAAATGGAATGGCTTGTAAGTTTGAAGATGACAACATCAAACAGATAGCACCAGTTGGCAACTTTTAAGAGCTCACAAACTGACCACTATTTAATACTTCGCAACTCTTCCTGAAGATTCTATTTTGGAATGACCAGTAAAATAGTTCAGAAAAGAAGAACCATCTCTTAAAAGGCAAAAGATATGTATTCTTTGCTCCTATTCAGAAGATCCAACTTCCTGAGCTAAAAACCCCCGCCAAAAGTAGATTAGTCTTTTCTGAGTCAAACAACTTTTCATTTATTCAAAACCAGGGTTGATTGAGAAGACAAGCGACAAAAATTACAACAGCTGCTAAGCAGCAGGCTCCACAACATGGGACAAAATAGACACGAAATGACAAACCTCTAAATAGACTGGGTCCTTATCAAAGAAACTAATCAGACTTGACCCATCAACACGATTCCACATTACCATACTAAAAATTCCAAGCACCCGCCATTCAAGAACTTAATTTGGAAATTTACTGAGCAAATTTGGCTGTCCCAAGATGTCACCCCTACCCCAAAACCATCCTACTGGGGAAGAATCGCTCATTCTGTTATGAATGGAGCCCATGGGGAATATGGCTTGTATGTGGCCAACCCAAGCCGAATCAATCATCTTGCTATTGAGCTTAGGCGTACAGTGAAGAACAGGACTCAGGCACTTTCAGAAAACTCTTCTGGACTTTTAAAAACGGTACCAAGTCAAGAGGTTCCAAAAGCATCATCAAAGGTCAAAAACTAAGAGTCTTCAAGTCTCCATACCAGATGACTTGTTATGAACTAAACACCAGGGTCAGCAGAACACTATAAACAATTCAAGGCCAAAGTCACTGCCCAGGCTATGCCAGACAATCCATTCACAGCACCTAGTTTTGTCCAAAAGCATGACTCCATCCCAGACTTTAACTACTCAGAGACACCCAGTGAGGTACTGATCCCCCAAAAATGTGGCTTCTCACCTAATGAACCTGGTAAGTCCTCCAGGGCAAGGCTTCTCAAACCTGCCTGCCCACCAGAATCACCTGAGAAGCTGCTTTTTTTTAAAATAAACACATTCAGGGCGCCTGGGTGGCTCAGTTCGTTAAGTGACTGCCTTCGGCTCAGGTCATGATCCCGGAGTCCTGGGATCGAGCCCCGCACCAGGCTCCCTGCTCAGCCGGAGGCCTGTTTCTCCCCCCTGCTGTGTTCCCTCTCACGCTGTCTCTCTCTCTCTGTGTCAGTTAAATAAATAAATGAAATCTTAAAAAAATAAATAAATAAAATAAACACACTCATATCCAAAAAAAAAAAAAAAACTGAGTGCCTACTATGTGTCAGGCACTGTTCTAGATACCAGGAAAACAGCGGAGACTATAACAGGCAAAAAATCCCTTGCCTTCCTGGGGCTGGAATTCCAGTGGAATGAACAAGAGTAAACATTAAGCAGTCTGAAAGGGTAAAGTGCATCTCACTCCCCTCCCAACCATTCAGTGAGCTTGTTAAAAATTCCAGTGACCCTGGGTGAGGTGCAGAGATGTACATTTTCAGGGAGCTCCCCGGGTGATCTCATGCGGCCGGCACAGTCCTGAGACCCACCGCAGATGAAGGTGCAGGACAAAGAGGCTCCCTGCGTCGGCCAGATGAAAAGTTTCTACGGCAGAGGCACCCTGAATACAGCCAACCGTCCTGCTGCTTGCCGTTTTTTTTTTTTTTTTCAGTGACTACCTGGACATGACAGGATCTGCCTACCACGCCAGGATCACCGGCAACAAAGGGCCGGAAAGGAACCGGTCCATCAGCACGGAGGCAACCATCCTGTGCAGAAGGACACGCGAGGTCCCTGACAACGACCAGCTGCAGGTCACCCGAACGGCAATCACCAAGGCATGGTAATCAAAGGCCGGGGAGCCAGGAGGAGGAAAGAGCCCTACAGTGAAACAGTCCTAAACAATGCGATCACCCTGCAGATGGCAGAGAAAGCATAGCAGCTGACAGACAAGCCTGGCTTGGAGCTATAACGGACTTGCTCTTTTAAAGCAAAGACATTCAGGCCAACAGAGACAAACCCTGCTAATGGCACAGCTGCAGATGCTAATTAAAGGGCAAATCTTACATGTGTTCAGTTTGGAAGGAGCAGCGGCTTCTCTGCTGGTGTTCGCATCTACACCCCAAGAACAGGGATGGCAGTGCCCATCAATTGTGTTGCCTTCGAAACAAAGGACAAGTGTGTGTGTG